GTTGTAGAGCATAGCAAAAGAAAGTGCTTAAGGGGTTGAAAACGCACTGAGACTTACATATTAAGGATCAGTTCAACGGATAAGCGCAAAATTTGTGGAAGAGAAAATAAATGTGGAGGAAGGTGCTTCTTATATGCTAAGCAGATTAAGTTCCTCCAGCTGATGCTTGAAGCCAATGTTTAAAGAAACGTTTCTAGAATTATTTACTTCTGTAAACGCATTTAGGTAAGAATATCCCTCTTTGCATATCAAGTAGGCTATGACAATTGAAGGAGAACGGGATTTCCCAGCGTTACAATGAACAAGAACCGAACCATTCTTGGATTTGGCCAGTTGAATAAAATCACAGCAACTTGGTATGACTTCCTTCAAAATGAAGCCAATATCATCAAGAACATTATGTTCTAAGTAAGTGAAATCCTTAGGGAAATAGTTTGGTATCGTAAAAGATAATAAATTAATAATATGTGTGACCCCAAGGCGTCGGAGCAATTCAAAATCACATGCAACATCCTGGGAGCCTAAAAGTTGAGAGCAACCCCGTCAAATTACCAAAAAATATTTTAAAGCCGCTGAGATCAACTTTTCCGACTTGAATATCGATATTGAAATTTGGGATGAAGCCGTAAATAGAGAAGTTTTCCTCTGACCGGTCTGTATAAATATCGCTTATGATATGCCCATATTTATCAGCAACCGTTACAGAGCCATCTTTACTTCTTATGCAGATCTGGGTGGGCCGAAGAATAGAGAGATCAAAAGAGCGTATACTGTTTAGGTCCATTAAGGGCCAACCCCAAAGCCGTTAAATCTGGCGGAATAAAGCTAGGTAAAGTTTATCAAATGTTACTATTTTAAAGCATTAGATTTTATTATTTTTTGTAATAAAATGCTAAAATGTTGCATTAATGTATATATATATTAGGGCGGTCTTATGGTACTCTTTGGTCTGTGGCGTAGACGCGTTTTAAGATGGCCAATAAACGTCTACCAGCCGATATACACAGCATGCCTCGGTACAAAATCGTAGTTCTTGGAGATGGTGGTGTTGGAAAGTCTGCATTAACCATTCAGGTTTGATATTCTTAATCGCTCCTATACTATAGTACTTTCAACATATGTTCTTGGAGGATCACGACCCAACTATTGAGGATTCCTATATACAAAATGAAGAGATTGACAATGAATGGTGTATACTTGATGGTAAAAATTTTCGTTTTGCTTAACTTTCTGCGTTTTTATTATAATAAATCTACTGTTTTTATCTTTTAAAGTCTTGGATACGGCCGGCCAAGATGAATTCAGCGCCATGCGGGAACAATATATGCGAAAGGGCCTTGGATTCATATTTGTTTACTCTGTTACCGACCCTCACAGTTTTAAGCAAGTTGAACGCTTTCACACTCAAGTACTTCAATCTAAAGACACTGAATTTTATCCAATGATGCTAGCCGCGAACAAGATTGATTTGATCCAGCACCGGCAAGTCTCTGAAGAGGACGGCAGGCGCCTTGCTGATCAGCTTAAGGTATACCTGGACCTTTCAGAATATATTTTATTATTTTTATCAATTCCATTTTTTGACCTAAAGTTACATGTGAATTTGTAAAGATTGGTGACATTCTGCTCACTACATCTGCCTTCTCGTAGAATTTACTTACGGATTTTGCAGTGAATTTGTTCTATTTAATTCATGTGATCTAAACCATACTGGCCTAAATGCGTTGGTGTCTGTATTGATGGAGCTCGCTCCATTTCTGGCTGCTATGGAGGATTACAGGTGCCTATTCGAAGCAAATCACCAAATGCACTGTGGACCCATTGCATTATTAATAGAAAAGCGCTTGCGTCAAAGCACTGAATTAGGTGTTAAAATGTGTGGTCCATTAAAAGCAATGTTTTTTAAAAAAACGGAGGATATGGGAGCCGAACATTCGTCTTTTTTGTACTATAGCAGTGTACGATGGCTCTCTCGTGGTAATGTTTTATCACTTACTTTTAAATTACGGCAAGAAATTTTTATTTTCCTTAAAGAAGAAGGATTCAAAGATGCAGAATATTTTGCTGATGCCGATTTTTTAATAAACGGGCATATTTATGCGGCATTTTTGAAAAGCTGAATTCCCTTAATCGCTTTCTACAGGGAAAGAACATACACCTTTTGAAATAAACGGAAAAAATATCAGCTTTTATAAAAAATCTCATATAATGGAGAAGAAAATTCAATGAAGATACAAAGATTGTTTTTCAATATTACAGCAATTTTTGACGTCAAATGAACATGATCTTTCTCGAGGTATAAAAACCGTTTGAGGAGCACTTATCACAGCTAATTAACTGGTTCGTTAAATATTTTCAAAATGAAAATTTCGATAAGCTTACATAGATTCAAGATCCATTTAACATTAA